GGAGGTAGCGGATTGCGATCCGCTACACTCGTACTGGTTCTTGTGAAGAACGTAAGGTTGGTGACTCAGATTAAGCTTCCGCTGGTAGCACTTGTAGTCAATCTACACCTGAGTCGCTTGGACCAACCCTCTCCGAGGCTAAAAGAATTTGCCTCTTTGCCCCATGGTATGCAGGACGTGCTTAACAAGCTGATGTCCTTACTTGGACCTGAGGGCGTGCAACACCTTGCTGCGCAAGGCCCCGAGGCAATCGGTCGGTGCGTGTCTAGCAGCAGAAGATGTCTGAATCATTTGCGTTAATGACGTCACCATCAGTGACGGATGATTTTACCCGCCCTGGGCCACCCATGGTGAGCAAAAAGGTCTTTGAGGGGAAGGATGGAGAGAATCTCTTGCTCTGGGTGAGAGAGGTCGAAGTGGCCATCGCATCTGCCATGTTTCAGACCGAGCATCAGCGCGTGGCTCTAACCATCTCAAAGCTCGGTGGTCGAGCGCGATAATGGGCACTGACGTGCGTCACTTCGCTCGAAGTCGCGTTTCCATCCTCGGCGGAGCTTGAAAGTGTTCTCACCGCCTAATCAGGCATATCGCGTGTAATCGCATTATTTTGCCGCCCGATAGGGCAACAACAAGTTGGTGGACTTTGTCCAAGAGATGCGCACTCTCATTGCCGCGATGGCAGCAGATCCCCTTCCGGAGGCGGTCACAGTGACCGTATTTTTGGAAGGCCTCCGCACTGGCGCGGCCAGAATGAAAGTCTTCCGTGCATCCGTCTTCTTTGAAGAGGCGGTGAATGTAACGTTAAATGCCGAATTCAATTTCAAGTCTGCACGACTTGGTTGGGATGAACACTCCAACAGCTTGTCGAGTGGGCCTGTGCACATGGATCTCAGCTATGCTGAAGACGAAGGAGCAGAGCTCCGAGCTGCCAGACAGCACACAAACACACGACGGTGTTTTGTCGGTGGAGACACCCGTCACCTGCGGAACGGTCGTCCCCTGCGCAAGGCGCGTCAAGTTTCTTCGAGCCATCGCCCCAATTCCTACCAGTCTGGTTCGTCGCTGGGAAACG